TTAATGAGATACAGCTTCCACTGCAGACAGATGAGTGTCACTGCATTGCTCCACGCTGCTCAGGACAACAGTAAGGTTGGGCTGTGCAGTGTTTGTACCTGGGAGACCTTGGCTGCCTAAGGGTGGCGTTTGCTGTCCTACGTGTCCTGCTGTAACTTCTGCTCGGGGTGTGGTTGTGTCAGAGTGGAGATTGTGACTACAGATGTTTATTTGTACATTTTATAGCAGAAGCAGCTTTATGCGCAGCAGTATCAAAACCTGCAGCTTTCTCTCTGCCCTGAAGCCTGTGTGATGGTTTTCTGCCCCAGATAATTTCCCCTACAGATGTGCGGGGAAAGGCGGAGGTGGCTGTGGTGGCACAATGCGAAGCCCAGCAGCGCCTAGGGGTGTGCCATGTCCTGCCCTGGCCCTTCCCTTGACGGGTGTTGCTGCTCTGCCCCTGCACAAGCACAGCGCACACTGCACTTTGGACCCAATTTCTGTTGGGATGAAGTCAGGAGTCTGCCAGCTTGGCACGGATGCCCTTGGGAGAGAGAATGCTGGGGGTGTTTGTGGTCTGCTGTGGCGCAGGGCTGCAGGGCGGCTCCGAGGGAGGGGACAGAAGCCTCATGGGGGAGTTCGGCATTTGAAGTGAAATGATAAATTGGAGATTCTCTCTGGAGTGTCCTGGGCACTCTAAATCACCATTCTTTAGAGTCTCTGGTGGAGAGTTCCTTGGCTGATACACTTCCCTCAAGAGTGGAAAATGCTTTATTTAATTCTTTGTATGGTTCATAGTTTTATATTAACAAAAATTTCTTTCCAAATATCAGGATTCATTATTTCTCTTGCATATAGTGACTGCATCAGTATTTGGTGGTTCTTACACTTGGTTCTTGTGACACTGTGGATCACGGGTTACAGCGCAGGTTTGCAGAGCACGACACAAGTTGAGTGTCTGGTCGTTCCCCTCCCTTCCCCAGGGTCTCTGCTTGCAGTATTGGCTGGTCTGGCTGTGCCAGCAAGTGTTGTATGGGAACAGCCTTGTCTCTGCTGCTGGAAAGCTTCCCCAAAAGGCTTATAAAGTCACTGTTGGTGGCATGGCAGAGATCATTTGTGCTGTGACAAATGAGTGTGTAGGTGACTGCTTGGCCTCAGGGAGACAGCAGAAGCACCCTGCTTCTTCTCAGAAGAAAGCAGCGTTACTTTGTGCAGCATGGGAAAGGTTTTTAAAATGAAGACTCTTGTTGCGATGTCTTCATAATTTATCAAAAAGATTTACATTTCTAGTGCCACAGAGCGTTCTTTGTGGGTTCGTTAGCCAGTGGGCATTAATTGAATCAAGATTTGAGTGAGATGCTATGTGCGCTCACCCTCTGGCTGAGGAATCTCGCAGTGGCAGGAGCTGTTGGGGTGGCTGCCCTGCCCTTGCTCTTGCTCTGGGTTCCTGCCAGGACACTGTAAGCAGCTGGAAAGGCGGTGGCTCACCATCAGGGCACGCATTTGGGGTTAGATGCTGAGAGCTGCTCCAGTTTGGTGCAGGATGGACAAATAGGCTGTTGGGGCATTTTCTGCTTCTTAGTTGCTCAGTAGATAGTGCCTAATAAACTGCATTTTTATGGGCTGTCTGTGTTGCGGTGTTTGTGTGTATTGTTTTCCATTATTTAGACTGTAACATACTGATACATAACAAACATATACACACAAACTACCATACATAACAAACTGATTAGTTTCAAACATTTGTGGATGCAGTCCCTCACTTTTCAGCCATTCTTTTGCTAAAAGCTCTGATTCTGACTTAGCAGAAGGACTCCATGGAAGTAAGGCTAAAACTTTCTCCATTTTTATTATTTTAAATTTCCCTCTCCCCCTCTCACCAAAAAAAAATTAAATTTGTGATGCAGATGTTAAACTTCTGTTTCTGATGAGAAGATTCGTAATTGGAGAGACTACTCAGATTTTTATTACGCTGGTCAGAAATTATGTGAAAGTGTTAATTGTTTTTCCAGTTTCTGTGTCTCCAAGAGGAGGAAGCTAAACCACTCCAGTGGCTTTTTTCTGCTGCTGGACAGTAGTGTCTGCAGCAGCATCACTGTGAAGCTAAATCTGCATTATAATCTTCTTTATGCCAGACACACAGGGCATTGTAACTTCAAGAGCATTAAGCAGCAGTAATAATAATAATGACCTGTGAAATAGGTGTTGTGCAAGCCAGGCTGCAGTTTACTCCCCCTAGCAGAATGGCTTTGTTGGTGTTTTCAGTGACGGTGGCCGCAATGGTTTTGCAGTACCTTGACCTTTCAGTATATTGATTTTTATGTGCTGCCATTTGATTCTGCGTGCTTTTTGCTCCTGGATGATAACTGATTCCTTGAAAGAGTTGGGATTTTAACTCTAATTTGGCTTACCTAGTTAACATCTCTTTTGCTACCTAATCAGATTTTTATTTTTTTTTTAATTCAGTGCGGTCTAACTTTGGAATATCCAGATAGCAGGATACAGTGTTCATAAGAATAGCCTTTAGGGGAGGGGAAGTTTTAGAGTATTACAAACTGGACGTTTTGTTTAAACAACATAAGGGCAAGATGAGGGAAATCAAATGTTGGTTTATGATGAAGTTTGACTTTCACTTAATCAGATGTAACTTTAGCCAGAGGAGTTCTGGATTTAACAGAAACAAATGCTTTAATAGATCCTTCTAGTGCTAGGCAAAAAAGCCAGTCACAGAGCAACTAACTTGTAGCTGGTTAATTGAGTGATTATATTCAATTTACTCAGTTCTGATCTTTATGACAGAATCTGTCCTAAACTTCAAGTAAAAAGGTTTTATAATGTGTACTACTGATTGTAGGTAGTAATTGGCAGATTTGATGCAAGAAGAGACAACCTTTGATTGAAACTGTGATGCAGGTTTCCAGAGGTAATATTTCTTATTGTAGGGAATGAGGCTTGGGTGTGCTGCTTCTCTCTGCCTCGTTTTTCTCTTTTTAATTTTTTTTAATATTCTTCTATCCGAGACCTGTACTGTCCCTTCCAGTGGCTGTACTTGATGGTGTCATTGATGAAGCACCAGATGAATTCTAGAAGTGGAAGTTGTAGCCTCTTGTCAGCACGCCATAACACACAGCAGGAGAAATGTTATTAAATTTCCTCATTTCCTGAGCAAAGTAAACTGGCGTTGCTGAGAGTTTCCTCAGCTGTAAACATGTCAGAGTGCAGCAGGAACACACCGCAGTCATCAGCAGGCCCTGGTGGCCAGCGGTGGAAATCTGTGGTGGTTCGTGAGAAACTGTAGATTGTGGGACTTGGAGAGCAGGGTTTGGTTTGGTTTTTCTTCTTGGGTCCTCATGAAACCTCAGGCCACTGTGAATTGTGGTGCTTGTCCATGTGTCGTGTGAGGCCTTAGCTTAGTGTGCTGTTCTTGACACTAAAAAACCAAAGATGTGGCATAACACAAGTCGGTGACAGCTTGGAATATTTTGTGCTTTGATGGATGGAGGGTAAAAGGATGCTGGAGGACTCTGCCTAACGAAAGGGGCAGGGCTTTTAAAAATAAAAATACTGCTGCACCACTTGAAGAGGAAGAGAAGAGAGAGCTGTGCATGGCAGTAGACAGCATAGTTGTCTATGTGTGGGCTGTGTCCTGTTCTTCATTAACTGGCAGCACTGATAAGCATTGGTCAGTTCAGTCTGCAGTTAATGTGTCACAACTGTGAAAAATAAAAACAAAAAATCCGAAACAGAAACAACAACCCCACTGCATTCTGTGTGATCGACCAGGTGAGGATCTGAACGCACTCAATTTGGGCAGCTGCTTCTATGCTCACCTGGAAAAAGTCTTAATTTCTGTCAGCCCGAGCTGTTGAACACCATGTGGTGAGCTGCTGTCTGTCCTGGTCTCCTCTTACCTCTTCGAGGTTTGTGTGAAAAACCAAACTGCGGAGAACATCGGTGGTGCGCTGAAAAACCCAAAATGCTGCAAAGTGACAGGTTTTGACGAGCCAGTGGTAGTGATGAGAAACTGTAATAAAGGGCCAAAATAAACTACAGTCCGTTTCAAATACTTTAGCTTGATGTGAGATCATGTGTTCCAATTATTTCCTTAATTTTCTGTACTGTATGAGAATTTTTTATTAGCTGGTTTACTTGAGGGAGTTCAGGGTTCTCCTAGTGAGTGATCTTGTATGAAGGCTGCAGGCAGGACTGGTATCTGAGAGATTTTTCAGGTTTTTAAGGATTGCGGTGGTGTTGAGTGTGTCAGTGGAGGTAATCTTAATGGCCTGGAATAGATCCTGATCTCTGGGAGCTCTTACACCTCAGACAGTGAGATATTTCTGACCAGCATTGTGGAAGTAAAGGCTTTTGTTTCCTGGTGAAATTAAAAGTGCAAGGAGAAGTGGAAAACTTCCAGGGGCCAAAGGGACTCGGGTATGGACGAGCAGATGAGCAATAGCAAAGTGCTTAGAACCAGCACGTTTAGGGGCAAAAAAAGCCCAGGATTTTGGTTTCTGTTTCCAGTCTGAGTTTGGTTTTATTGTAGCTGTCAGTGTGTGGTACGTGAGCGCCTTGTCAGGCTCAGCTTGCTCTAGACTTTTTTGTCTTTAGTTGAGCAATTCACATCATATTTCAGTGAACATTTCTGGTATTGGGCTTCCTTTGTCACAAGAGGAAATGTGTTAATGTTGTGCTTGAAGTTGTTTCATTTCTTTTTCAACCCCATTTCTGGAAATTCTGGTCTAACCAAACCTGTGGTGCTGTTGGGGTTTTGGCAGCTGCAGAACGGGAAGGGACTTTGCCAGTGTTGCTCATGCTGAGCTCTGCAGGTGACACCACCTTGGACTTGCGTTCTGCAGAGATGGCCCTTACATCCTGGAGGAAAGGGGATCTCACCTCACAGACCACTCGAGATGTCATTGGGTTTTGTCAAGTGAAGTATGAAATGTTGTGACAAAGTCTTTTTTTTAAAATTTAATTTTATTTTTCTTATAAAAAATAGAGCATTTTTTTCCTTTTCACAGGTTCTTTAAAGAACTTGAGGCAAGACATCAGAACAACATCTTTATTGATGATATTAGTGATATAGTTGAAAAGCATACTACTTCAACGTTTGATCCCTATGTCAAGTACTGCACCAATGAAGTCTATCAGCAGCGGACACTGCAGAAATTACTGTAAGGACTAATTTTAAATTACGATTGCAAAATCCCCCCTTCGTAATAGCAGTGAGTAGCAGGCTGTGGTATTTGGTGCCAAACCTATGGCTTCTACTGAGGCATGTCCTTATGTGCTCGACTTTCCCGAACATGTGAGCTCCTCTGAAGTAACTGAGAGCACAAATGTCCGCTTCACATCGGGTCCTGTCTGTGGCCGTGTCCCAGCCCTCGCCACTGATGGGTGCGTCTGGTGTACGCTCATTGTACGTTGCACACAAGTCTGCCTGCGCTCGTGGTCATGCATGGGAGAACTGGGTTTCTGAATGGCAACACTGGTCTTGCATAGCGAAGTAAATAAAACTGAAGTCTTAGTTGATACAACTTCTTCAAACCACACTTTCCTATTCATAAAATAGTGATTTATTTTAAATCTAGCCACTTTCACAGTTCTTTGGTAAAACATACTGCTTCATTCTCTCCTGTTTTTCCCACCAGAGCCACAAATCCAGCGTTTAAGGAGGTGTTATTGCGGATTGAGTCCCATGAAGACTGCAGGAATTTACCAATGATCTCTTTCCTCATTCTTCCCATGCAGAGAGTTACTCGCCTTCCCTTGCTCATGGATGTGAGAACAGGTTTTTTATATTTTTCTGTGATGCACGTTCTTTTAATGTTCTTTCATAGCCATCCCTAGTTCATTCCAGTCTCTTCCTATCGTCTGACTTGCGCCAGGTTTGGGCTGTAGGTGCTGCTTTGTTGAGGATGAAGCACTGTAGTGGTTTTGCACCGTTTGCTTACTGTGGCCGATACCCTGTGTCATGGATGGAGTGAAATACATGGTTATGATTTAGCAACAATTTAAGATTTATTGAAAATGCAAGGTGGTGTTAGCAAAACGTAATCAGTAACCAATTTCTGTATTTATTTATCTATCACTCTGCTTACATGTATTTGCCTTTTACTGATACGCATCAACTTATACAGGAGTGGATATCGACACTTTTAGTACCAAATACCTTTTGTTTATTTGCATGCTTTGTGTACACACACACATATATATGTGTACACACATAGATACTAGAATATCTTGATGTAAGTTAGCTCGAATCTTGTAATTCGGTATTCTATCATCAAGTTACTGTTTTATGATAATCACCCCAAATATAGAAATTGGTTATTGATTATTGCTGGATAGTTACTTAGTTCATTCATGCACATTGAGTACTCTCTTCTGCTGCTTCGTCCTCTGAAGTACCTCACACTTTATTTCAGACTGTTTGTCAGAAAACTCCTAAGGATTCACCAAAATATGAGGACTGCAAGCGAGCTCTGAAAGAAGTGAGCAAGGTATGTGCTCAGAAGTTTCATATGGATGCAGAAATGTTTCTGTTTGTACTGTTTTCCTTCCTAAATTGCACTCCATGCTTTTGTCATTCCAAAAACCCACTGTGAGAAGTGGCTGCTTTGGGGTTTTGAGGATTAATTTTCATGCCCATTACTCATTCTATTCACCTGTGTCATTGTGGAGTTGGACACATTTCTCCTGTTTGCTGCCAGTCATTCCAGCAGAAAGCCATGCGGTGGCCTATGCATTTGTTTAATATATTTATATTCTGGAAATAACTCTTCAAAATAGAACACTGTGGTATGAAAAGAATATCTAATAATCTAAGGAGTGGCTATTTTTTGCCTCCAAGATTTCAGTTTCAGAAACTTTAGTGCATCGTAGACTGTGAAACGTGAAGTACTGGGCATTCTTTGTTTTAAAAAAATCCTTTCTCTGCACGTTGGGGCTAGACATTACCTGGGGCCTTTAACATTCTTGTCTGCTTTAAGGAAGGGAAAAATTGCTGGTTTTCATGCATAAATAATGCAAACAGGAAGAGTATTGAAGGGTAGAAACTCTAAATGACTTAATTTAAGAAAGGCCACAAGGGATCATTTTTATGCCTAAATTACTGTCTGTTTCTTACTTAGGAAAATACCCTAAACTTGGGAACACTGAACTGCTGCCAACACAGTTGGGTTTTTCTGTAGGAACAGCGTACAGTGTGTAAAGTGTTTGATTGTAAAAGGAGAAAAGGTCCTTGGTGGTTGGGATATCCACGTGTGATGTTGTAGGGATTGCATTTTCCTGCCTTTCTGTCTTTGCCTCTGTTTTTGTGTGTTCCCCACCCCTATGTGCAAGCTTCAATAAAACCGTAGGATGTGTTAAAATGGCATTCGAAAGGCCAGCTGCAGTACAGCTTTTCCTGGGCTGCTCTTTGCTACGGTGTGACAGGACAGCGCGGTGACATTTGTGTGTGCTGGGATTTCCTCCTAGGAGTGAGCCGGGCATGTGGCGGGTGTGGAGCACCCAATGCTGTGGGCCAGGCTAGAACTGATCATTAACAGGGATCAGAGCTGTCACCTTGCGCAGTCAGGGTCTGCCTGACCCTGCAGAGGTCACCAGTCACTGCCCTGCGGAGTCATCAGTTATCCCAGTGTGACTGGGCAGTGCAGACTGAGGTCACCCAAGGACCCTCAGGGCTGCATTCAGTCTGGTCATTGTCTGTGCCCAATGTGTGTTGGTGCCTCTGTGAATGCTTTGCTTCCTGAGAAGTGCATTTTACAAAGGAACAAGGGTTTGGATTATGAGTCTTGAGTACATGAAACCTGTTCAATGAATGTCTTATTTCTAGTTGGTGCGCTTATGCAATGAAGGTGCTCGGAAAATGGAGAGGACAGAAATGATGTACACCATTAACTCCCAGCTGGAATTTAAAATCAAGGTATGACGGTGATATTTCTGACTATAAATCACTTAACATATGAATAGCTTTGAGTACATGTTATGTTTTGACAAGTTTTTTGCCAGCATAATCCAAGTGGTGTGGGCTGGATCACTGACAGGACTGCACAGCCAGGGAGATCCTTGCTCTGGGGCACCTGAAGCCCTGGAAACTCAGAGCAGCTGAGGGCTCTTCATGTAACTGGGCAGATGGACCTGGGGTTTCTCGGGGAAAGAGAGGACCAGGATTTTTAATTTTTTTTATTTATTTTTTTTAAATAATAAATTGACATTCATTACTGAAGAATGAGGAATGTCCAGACTCTGAGTTTGCCTTTGTGGATGAGCCCCTGTCCCCGTTGGAGTGACAGCACCTGCACAGTATCAGTAGTGGTACAGTTTTATGTGGTTTTACATAATTCACAACAATGTGTGTGATGCTCTTGTCACAATTCACACAAATCCTACACTGCTCTGCCTCTGTGTCCTTCCTTCTTGTCATTTGTTTCCTCAAGGCTTGCCAAGGTTTGAATTGCCTTTTTGTCCCTTTCCTCCTCACATAAACCAACAGGAGGATGCCCAATGTCATTTCTGATTTGCAGGGGAACCGCTGCTGTTCTGCACTGCAGACAGAGGCTGTGCCGTTGTGCGCGGCACCTGGTGCATGAGCTGAGCAAGCTGCTGACTTGTTGGATGGATTAAAGGGAGGGGTTGCATTATGAGGCAGCTCAGTTCCCCACTTTGGGACTTGTCTGGCAGTGTGTAAATGGGTTCTGATAACCTTCATCACACGTGATGAGAGAATCATAGTTTGCAGGGGTTTTATTGTACTGTCAAGATACTTCAACTACCTTTACTTTTTTTCTGATCAATGTTTGCTAAAATACTATGTATATAAATAATGTCTCACTGTCGTGTATATATAGTAAATAGGGATTCAAGTTTTCAAAAGCACAGTTCTTTAATGAATCTTGGTCAGCCTTTGAGGAAATGTTGTCTCCAAAAAGATGTTTTTTAAACTTCACAGAATCACAGAATCTTAGGAGTT